GCGTCGAAATATTTAAGAGAGACTGTGGTTAGGATGCTGGTAACTAATTCCGCTTCAAGGATACATTTTAGAAAATTCCACAAAGATTAGATTATGAGATGTTCATTAATCTCGTTTGGTCCTTAATTTTCTTTAAATAATGTTGTCTTGTAGAAAAATTTTCATTCGATTTTTCTTTTATTTTGTAATAATTAGATATTAGAGTTTACAACACTTACTGTATCCCCAGTTGATGGAGCTTCTCTCACAACAACAATGCATCGTAGAGGAATCAACATGCGATATCTGGGCATGATCACGAATATCATTGAAGAATCACAAGATCATAAGTTAGATCATGTTAAGGTAGGGTCATTTATGGCAATCGTTCAATTATGATGAGTTTATTAATGACTATTCTCGTTTGTAGCACCTTATCAAACATGAAATGATTATCCGGGCATCAAAACACATACTTCGAGATCTCTTGTATGAAGTGCCAAATACATATGCCCCATATTGCATATCACATTTCTTGAACTGTCTATTGGGCACAGAATACAACTCTAATCCACAACCTCTGGTACCGGAGTCTATTATCGGTGCCGCAAATCCTCAATATAAATATCTCGCGCTCACTCCACAGTCTCTCATTCAACAAATACGTGACGACATACTTTTACGCTTCCGTTATAAAACGGATGAAAACTTTGTTAACGATAACATGCGCAAATTATCGTTGTTGCGAGAGATTTGTTTGCGAGTGGGCGTTCAAATTTTAGCGCAATCTTATCATTTTGTCAAAAAGAAATCAAAAAAGAGACTCACTACCTTCGTGCCTGATGATATAGTGAATTTGGTTCCTATTGTAAAACAAGCCACCCCAAAGGCAAGAATCAAAAATTTACGAAAATCAGTATATTGAAAATTGATGCCTAAAATATTATATACACGCCAAATCTGTAGTGTTCTTTCGCAGAAGAAACCTTTGAAGCCGGTAAACTGAGTATTGCCCAAGGTATGATTATACGTGCTTTTTTTTTATTTGTTCATTTTAGCTTTTTCTGAACTGCAGTTTATGTTATGTATTTCAGGACATCGGGATCTGGGTGTTGATATCATGTTACAATCACTGGCTTTGCATGAACAGAGCTATGGATTCCTTCACCCTGCAACAGCAAAATGCTATTCAGCGTTAGCAATGTATTTTTATCACCATGAAGATCTAGAGATTGCTATTGACTTTCAGAAGAAGGCAGTGGTCGTTCTTGAAAGAACTTGCGGTGTCGATAGTGTAGATGCTGTGCATGGCTATGTAAGTAGCGTCTTTGTTTTTCTTATTGCACGAAAACGATTTTTCTTCGATAACTTACTATTTATACGCCTGTAGCTGCATTTGGGTCTTTTCGAAAATGCTATTGGAAATACTGAATTGGGTCTTCGTTACATGAGAGATGCCATGTATTATTGGGAAATCATATATGGACAGTCACATCCCGATGGGGCTACAGCAGACGTAATTTTATCTTCCTTTGAACTCCATTCTGATCTCATCGCTATTAAATTAAACTTCCTTGTCCATTACAGCATAACGTAGGAATTATGCTACAAAACTTGAGAGATTTTGAAGGCAGTATAAAGTTCTTTGAACGAGCAAAAGAAACAAATGAAGGCATATTCGGAAAATATAATGTTGTTACCGGTGAATCGTATGTTTTTCAATACATATATATCATAAATCCATGTTTATTATGTTAATGACCATGGGTTGAAACATTTATTATTATTATTATCAGCTATCATCTTCTCGCTAAAGCTTTGGCTTTCTCTGAAGATTATAAAGCAGCTTTGGGAGCAGAGAAATGTGCCTACAATATATTTACAAAAGTGGTAATTATTTGAAGTCTATTTACCTTTTAAATTTCAATCATTAATTCTTTTTCCTTTAGTTTGGCCCCGACCATCCAAGAACAAAAGAGACGGAGGTTATGCTCAATGATTTGACTTCAAATGCCGTTCAATATGTGAGTAAATTGATTATCCTCTTATTTATTTTTGAAAACTTTGCTTATCCCGATCCTAATTTATCTAGGCTAAGTTGGCGTTACAACAAAAGCAAGACAAACAACCAGTGCGCAAGACATTGCCGAAGACTCCTCCGGTTCCGCTAAGAGTTGGACATACGATTCCCTTGAAAAAAAAGAGGTTAACCAAAAAGTGAACCTAATTAATCAACACGATACAAGTGTATATATATATATATAAGTATTGCATCAATGAAATTGGATGGTTTATCTAACTTTTAATTTGGATTTTTTATTAACATCAGTTATTTATAGCTAACCAATTAAATCATGCACAATAGAGTTTCGTTAATTTCGTTAGATAAATTATGTGATAAAATCTTATTCATAGAATGCGTTATCTTCATGATGCTTCCAATGGATTGTGGCAACAATAGCATGAGTTTTTAGATCGATATATCCCGTATGAGATAATTTCTTACAATTTGTTAGATGTTTTACACAGAAAAATGTACAGTTTTCATTACTCATTATTTTTAGTTAAACTAATAAAATTTAATTTCTTATGAAGTGTATAAATACGCATATTTGCAACAATGATTAACGCGGTACTTATTAATATACATATTTTGTATTTAGTTAATATAATTAATATGAATTATATGGGACAATCAATGATTTATCAAAAATACAAATTTGATAATATTCAACTACAATATATTACTTAAATTATCTTATTTGTTTAATACCTTAAAAGAAAATATAATTATATATGGGTAAGCAAAATAAATGGATTATAAAAAAGTAATATAAAAGAGTTTTTAAAAAAATATAACAATTGAAATTCAGTTAATTGTTAATTACTTTAGAAAAATAATTAAAAAAACTTAAATTTTTATTTTATTTATTTTATTTTAGTTAAGTTATTCTTATATACTGACTTGTTACTATTCATTTATTTAAAAATAAAGATCTAAACTAATATATCAAAACTTTATTAACTTGTATTAAAATTTTTATTTAGATTTTCTTTTTGAAAAAAATTAAAAAAAGATAAATCAAGAAAATCAAAAAGTAGTATTTCTTTTTTTTTTGATAAATAAAATTCTATTGGAAATTATTTTTCAATTTGTTAAAAATAAATATTTATCATTATCTGTAATTCAATAAATTATTTTATTTCTATTATTTTATTATTACTTAAAAATATTTAAGATATATTTATAATTAAACTTTCAATTCAAATAATTTTTTATTTTATTTTTTTTTTTTTGAAGGAGCAAATAGCTATTGCACTATCATTTATTATTATAATTTTAGACTTGCAGGTTACAAGATTTACAATGTGGAAAGCATGACATACATCTCTCTT